TATTAGATAATTATTAATTAAAAAATGTGACCACAAATTAAAAAATTAAAATGGATAAATTTGACAATAAAATTAAAAAATTCTAATCCACTAGCGGTTTGGTACAAAAAGCTACATAAACTAGCTTTTTCAATCCGCTAGCGATTTGAACCCTAACCGCTATCCGTTAGTTTCAAATCGTTAAATAAAAATTTTACCAAACACTTTAATTATAACGGTTTCGAAATATATAAATTTACCAAACACTTATATTTAACGGTTTAGGTAAAATCACTAACCACTACCTTAGAACCGCTACGACAAACGGAGCTTTAAGTCTGACAGATATACAATACTTTTTATAACTTTTGATCGCTGCTGACAACAATGACAGAAGGGAGAAGGCCCCAACTCTCTCATCCTTCAAAGGGAAACAAAAGAAAACACCAATTATTGCTAGCTAGGCGACATAAATTACATTGTTGTACTCCGACAGAACCCAAGGTGGGTGGGGCTACGTCTACTCATCACGCCTTTCACCAAATTTCTTGAATATCTTAAAACATTAAATTATACAACCCTAATTTAGAACGGAACTAGCTAATTTCAGTGTTTCTTGATGAATTCTTCGATCCCCTGAATCAGGCGGTTGGTTTGGGCAGCGGTGTTCGGGTCCTTGTCGACGGCGATCTTGTTGAGATAAAAGCTGTGACCCACCCCGGTGCTAATCAGCAGCTCAACGTCCTTGTTAGCCTTTTTCATGGCCTCGTAAAACTCCATCTCTGTATCCTTAATCAAGTCAGTTTCCGCCACACAGAACAGATACGGCGGCAAATTCAGTCCCTCCAGCGGCTTTGCCGCCTCTCCCATAGGACAAGTAATTGGGTGGTCCTTTGTGCTTCCCACCGGCAACGCCAGACTCAAGAATTTGTCCACCATGTCAAGGGTCAGAAATGGGGATTCGGGTTGCTCCAATTCGGATTTGCTCCGCTCTGAACGGACGAAACCTGGATGAATTGGAATCGCTCCGGCTAGTCCCAAGGGGGTTATGTCGTCGTTACCTGCCCGTGCAGCAACCTCATGGACCAGGTTTCCTCCGGAACTGTCTCCTAAGAGGAAAATACGAGTAAAATCTGCATGGTCATTGAGCCAGGACATGCGGGACTCGCCTTTGGCTAACGACCTGAGCCATAGGAAAGTGGAGTAGCCGTCGTCACAGGCTGCCGGGAGCCGGTTCTCCGGTGCGAGGCGAAGATAGGGGGACACCACAATGGCTGGAACTGACTTGGCTAGCCTAGTGTAAAAATGGTAGTACATGAAGCTATCAGGTTGGCTAATGCAAAATCCGCCTCCGTGGAATTGAAGCACTATAGGAAGTTTATGTCCTGATGTGGGATTCTGCTCCGGTCGGTAGATTCGGGCTCTGAGGCCAGAGTTTTCATTAACGGTGACATCGCAAGTAGCAACACCGTCTATGAATTGGTCATGGGGTGGCACGGGATCGGCCATGAACTTGACCTCAGGTGGACCAGTCCATGTCCGATCGACCGAGCCATCGTCGTAGAGTCTTAGCCAACCAGACACCTCGTCGACCAGCTTTTTCTCACGGACCATGACTCGTTTTGTATAGATGAACAAAGCGCTGTTACCAGTTGTGTATGGTTAAGACCGAGAGAGTAGTGTGTAATTAAGGATGGCCCCTTTATATAGATAGGAGATGGAGGTCTGGCCGTGCATTAGGGAGCCCTATCTTCCATTCGCTTACGGTGGCTACCATCTTTCGTTCATTTAAAATGGAAAA